GTGAGTAATTTAATTTGCCAAGGACTCAACACAGGAAGCATTTGCCGATTAAAAATATGTCTAAACAGATGTTCCGCTTAGCCTGGAAGAAGGATCTTAATGCAACTGTCATTATTGGATTTTCTTGGATTACTACTATCTGGAATCCGAGTCCAAATAGAAGGATGTAATTATTTATTATGGCCAAGAGTCCTGCATTTGAAAAGGAGCTCAGGGGCCGCTGAAAGGATTTAACACGCTAGGGGTGGGGCGGGCTGGGGGATAAAGACCATTGAAATTCTCTGACCCTGGGAGTGGGCCCTGTCCTCTCTGAAAGAGCAGAGCGGCCGTAACTCTTCCATGTTCCGTTTCCAGCTGCAGGCACAGCCGTGTCAAAAACAGAACCAGGCCTGACCCAGCCTTCTCAAGCGAGGAACTGCGGATTTTCAGTAAGTCAACGGATTGCTCCCACACTGGAAGTAAACGCCCTGACAATCCAGCCATCTGCATAGCCCTCATCCCACAGATGACGGGCAAATTCGCACCTGGCCCGAGCTGTGGCAAGTCCTGAAAACTTAAAGCGCAGCGCCCCCGAAAGCGGAGGCTGTGGGTTGCTCTGCCGAAGTGGTTCTCAAACCTAGATGCCCATTTGAGTCACCTGAGGGCTTTAAAAAAAATTCTGGTGTCTGCCCCCGGCTCAGATTGCGACTCAGTGGGCCTAGAGTGGAGTCAAGACATCTGTAGTTTTTAAAGCTCCCCAGGTGATTTGAAAGTGCAAGTTAATTTGAGAACCACGGATATAGCCCAGAGGTTAAGAGCAAGGGGTCTGGCATCATGGGGACTTAGGCTCAAGGTAAACACTGCCATTCGCTGCCTCTGTGGCCTTGGATGAGCCACCCTCCCCTGAGCCTGCCTTCCTGTGGCACGGCGGTGTCGTGAGCAACGAACCAGGTAATGAATGCCAAACACCCACCGTGGTGAGGGCTCAGGGCGAGCTGCAGGACTACCAAGGTCTGCATTTGGGGACAAGCTAGAAAGAATGCCTAAAGTTAGGCTCAGCAGTTACACCCAGACACACCGATGCAAGTGACATTCAGAGGTTTGGTAGTATGTGGTGCTTTGAGCCCATGTTTGCGGGATTCTCTGTTTTCTGGTGCAACCAGATCCCACTACCATTTGTTTCAGCACAAAGCTGCTAGGGACTGTTACTGAAAATGAAAGGTCCACTCTCCACGGTGAATATGGTTCTGGAAATCTGGCTCTAGCAAAACAGTCACAGCTTCACTGGTGGAGGAGTTCCACACTCCATTTCATTAATCCCATTATGAGCCCCAAAATGCAGGCTGAGCTCCCATCTCCAGGGGAGGGACGCTCCTGAGACCAAACGGTCTGCCCAGGGGATGATGAGTGTGCAATTCACCGAGCCCCTCAGCCTCCACCCAGAGCTGGAGGTACAAATCCCACCGTCAGGGCTGACGGGAGCCACATAATGGCAGGAAATAAACAGGCTGCAAAGCCAGAGGGCTGGGGCTTCCCTCAGATCCTTTCTCCTGCTTGGGCGGTCTCTTTTTCTAGGGGTGGCAGAAGGGGTTGGATTGTGATTAAAGGAGAATCTGAGACTGACACAACTTGCCTTATCTTTAATTCAAATGAGAAGCCCCCAAGCCGGGGCCTGACAGTGTCCTGGAGGGACGATCGAAAGAGAAGGCTGAGGGGACAGGCTTGAGCAGCCTGCCCTCACCTCCCCTTTGGGGTCTCCTCCCTCAGGACTGCCCTGGATGCTTAAGGACCTGCTCATCTGCGGCTGTAACACAGAGTGCAGGATTGGCCTAACCTTGACATTGTCCTCTTCAAACAAACCAAGGGCATGTGAGGGGCTGCAGACTATGGACTTAGCCAGCTTGTAGGGATGTGGGACATGGCGGACGGGGGGAACGCTGTCATCGTCCCCTAAAACCCAAGAAGTTTCAGGGTGGGTTTTGTACTGTGCACAACCCCACCAGAGGCAGAATTTTAATGGGCTGCAGCAGCCTTATTCCTTCCTGTCCCTCTTAATTATGTTTCTGTGCAGCTGTTGAACAGCTGCGGGATCCTAGTCCAGAGGTGGACAATGCACTTTCAGCGCCGGATAATATAATTCTTGGAGGTGGAGGGTGAGAAGAAGTGGAGGTGCTATGTTCATGAAGTATCTTTAACAGACACTCGGCTATGCAGTTTGCATAAACATCATTTCTAATTCTCTCCAAATCTCCTAGGAAGAGTTAGATAACGTATCCAAGGTCATAGCTACTAAATAGCTGAACTGGGATGCAAACCAAAATGTGTTTCACTATCCAAGTTTATTGGGTCATTACACCCAATAAACTAGTAAATATTAAAAACCCTGACAATGTCTAGTGCTGGTGAGCTGGCGAGAGACAATGAGGGAAGGTGGCAGGTGGTCTCCAAATATGACCACCAAGTCCCGTCATCTCTGTGCGCTCCTGCCACTTCTCACATTAGGGGTGGAATCTATTTTCTTCTCCTTGAACCTGGGCTAGACTTTGGCTTGTTGTGACCAATAGGATGTGGCAGAAGTAGCATTTGGGGAGTTCTGAGCCCAGGCCCTAAGTCAACTGACGGCTTCTGCTTCCTCCCTTTGGGAAGCCAGCTGCTGGGCTATAAAAAAAGTCTCAGGTTAGACGACTAAGTGGTGAAAGCCTATGTGGAGAGAGGAGCCACGTGCAGGACACCTAAGCACCAGGGCAGCGACTAAAGCTTTTTTGGACCTCCTAGCTCAGCCCAGCTTCTAGCCGAATGTAGTCACACGGGTGACTTCAGCCAACATCAGCCGGAGAACCACCTCATGGAGCCCCATCAACCCACACAATCATGAAGGATAACAAATCACTGTTCGAACTCACAAAGATTGGGGGTAGTTTCTATGCAACAGCAAATTACTTAAATCAGGGAGGAAAAAATAGGTTTGGCACCTACATCACTGCAGTAAGATGACAAACCCCTCTGGTTTCATTCCTACACCTTTGCCCCATTTTCACCACTACACGCCTGTCATCTGTGGCCAAATGAAGTGCCACTGAGTTTGCCAGATGTCTGGGGAGGCTGCGGACCCATGAGTCAAAGTGCTTTGAATATCGAGGCAGATACATACAGATTTTAAAGGGGGCTTTTAAAAGGTCCCAGAACACACTGTGACTGAGAAATAAACGCATGTTTGTCCCATGGTGGTGGTGGGGCGTGGGAACTAAAGATACTGCTTCTCTCTAAAAAAGGTCAAATTGATGAGAGGGGTCAGAAACCCAGTAAAAAAATGGGCAAAAACCAGGAAAAGGTGAGCCACAGAAATGTACACCCAAATCGCTAGCAAAGGTAGGGAATGATGCTCCAGGTCACCAGCAGTGAGAGAAATACAAAGTAAGTAATAATAAGCTACCATTTACATTATTGAAAATGCTGATAATATGTGGAGTTAGAAAGGATATGGGGAGAGGGGTACAGTTTTAAGCTGCTATAGAAACATGAATGATTCCACCTTTGAAATGCATTCTAGCAACATTGTTCATGATGGCAAAAAATTGAAGTGAATATTAACTGATAAAATAATGATTGAATAAATTACAGTCCATTCATACCAGGCATATTTTTGCAACTATTCAAAAGAATAAATTGAAGTTATAACAAGTGTCTTAGAGGGGTTTACCATAGGTATTGATGAGTGAGAAATTTATGATATGTAAAAAACATGTATCAAATATGATCTTATTTTTTTAGAAAATGACAAAGCTTATAGCTATTATGTGTTTATATGTATATATATGTATATCTCTACATAAATGTATATGTGAATATATGTACATGGAGAAAACTATAAAAGAGTGCATACATGGTCATTTGTATGTATTACCTAAGACAGGGTAGAGGGGTAATAGTAGGAAAAAAGTGAAGAAGGTAGCCAAATTAAAGGGAGAAGAAACAAAGAAAAGACAATAAAGTATGTGATTATATCATCACATTAAACATTTCTGTAAAATTATGTTGTATATGCATGTGTATGTGTGAAATATAAAAACATTAAAGCAAAAACATAAAATAAAGTAAATAAGGATTTCTATTTCATCCCTATATAGTCATACAGCAACACAGGATTCGGGCATTTTGAAACCTTTTGCTCTGTGTTAATTTTCCGTAGGAGAAACGCTGCTGCTGCAGCAAGCCCTGATTCCCACAGAACGCAGGCTGGACTGGAGGCCAGCAGCCTCTCTCCTCCAGCGCAGCTTCTGAGCAGGAAAAGCTTCTCCAGACGCGAGACACCTTCCCATGACCTCCAGGCTAGAATCTCAGAACAGGGAGAGAGCACCCCTTCATCTGAGCACTGTTGCACAGATGGGAGGTGGCGGTACTTCCAGGCAGGTGCCTGCTGATAGGCGGCCTTGCCCAGGGACAGCCATAACCTCACCTGCCCCCGCCCCCAATAGCCCAAGGCTTCTCTGGGCCACGCCCTCCTCCCTAGCTGGCAATCCAGCCTGGTTTTCCTTCCTTGCTTCCCACGCCCACTTGCTCTGTCAGACCTCTAGTTCCCCCAGCTTCAGCATCCCTCCTCTCACCCCTCAGGGGCTTCAGCTCACAAGCCAGGCTCTAGAGAGAAAGGTCAAGTACAGATTGCAGGGTTTCACTGAAGACCATAAAATCTCTGAGCGACCAAATACCACCCTCTGTCCCTTTCTCTGGCAGCCAGCCCAGCCCATTCAACAAAAGGACACACTCCCTCATGCCCAGACTTCAGTACTTCTTAGTCCACTAAGATAAAAGGTATAAGAGGTTCCCCCAGCCAAGGGTGTGGGGAGGGGAAATGCGTGACTGCTTACTGGGTATGGAGTCTCCTTTGTGGGTTGAAAACAACCTGGATCCAGACAGGGGTGATGGCTGCATAACACTGTGAATGCACGTAATGCCACTAAATTGTACACATTAAAATTTAAAAAAATAAAAGCACCCGGAGGCCTGGGGGGGCCTCACATTACCCTTTCCAGCTTCCTTGCTGCTGGTATTTGTGGCTGTAGCATTCGACCAGCTCTCGAATGATTGTTCCTCAAGTCCACCTGAAGGAAGGAAGAAGAAACGTGAGGATGCACCAGCTTTCTTTGCACCAGCACCGAGAGATGAGGGAGAGGACCTGGTCCCCTGGGGGAGGGGCAGGACCGCCGGCTCCGATGGAGCCGTCAGGATTTCCCATCATCTTCCACAAACGTTCATACAAAGGTTCACAATGTTCAGCAAAGGTTTACTGAGTGCCTACCATATGCTGGGACCTGTTCTAGACACTAGGCCAAAAAAGAACCTGTTGGGTTTTTTTTTATAACCATGTACATAATTCACAAATTATAAAAATATTATTCTCCTTGATCCACGTAAGGGCACTTGAAGTCAAATATACAAATAGACAAGTTCCCAAAAGTCAGCCTCTGAACCCCTACCTCCGTAAGAGACCCATATGCAAACAGAACACACTGCCCCTGCCGTAGAATGCACACAGATGCCCACAGTGCTGCTTCTGAACACATTCTATATTGCTGCTGCCGCCGCCTGGGCTTAAACAGGCATTCTGCTTTCCTCTTTGGGGTGAGTTTCTTTTTAGAAATTGCTTGTTTACTTTGTAAATCAGACTCTGTAGACACCACCTCACGCAAGGACATGATGCTTGTATTTGCTTGCTAGGAGCCATGATCTATAAGCCAGTTCACATCCACCCCCACCAGGAACATGGTCAATGACAAATTATTATCAGACCCACCGTGAGTCTAGTGCCATTCCAGCACTAGGGACCCAGCAATGAACATGGCACATGGGTGTGTACATCCTAAATGGGTGGGCAATAAACAGTAAGTAAGAAAATGAAGAGAGGAGATCATTGCACGTTCAGGAAATGCTCTGAAGGGCAAATTCAGTATGTGGCACAGTGTGATCAGAGCAGCTGCTTAGAAGGTGGAAAAGGGCCCTTCCAGGGAGGTGACATGTGAGTCAATGCCACCCAGCAGAAGGCAGGATGGGGAAGGAACCTAGACCAGGGACAGGCTTGCCCCATGGAGGCACCGACCATGGTGGCCGAAGTGGACAAGGTTCAAAGCAGGAGAGAGACACAGGGGTTTGTTTTAATCTGTTTTACCAAGATCTCTCTAGCAGGCAACAGAGAAAGCTGGGCAATCAGTTAGGGGCCTTGTGAAGGTCCAGAGGAGACAGAGCAGTGGGGCGGGCTGGACGGTGTGATGGCGACGTGGGAGACCTGTCATATTAGAGACAGAGCTGGAGACGGAGCAACAAGAGAGGCTGATGGGTCTGGGAAGAGCTACCAAGGACTCCTACATGTGAGGTATGAGCAACTGGCTGGATAGTGACATCAGGAAGCAGATTGGCGATCAAAGCCTGTGTCCCTGAGAGACTATGGTACATATGGGTCCACACCAAAGCAACCACAGAACCACTTATTTGCTAATGCAAAATTATTTCTTGCCTTTGTTTAGAAATTTGCAGCTTACACAGCAGTTTCCCCACATCCCCTTTGACCCCCAAGTAGAATACTCAGTGGCAGACAGAGTGTCATCCCATTTTACAGCGGAGAAAACTGAGACACGAAATGATTTCCCAAGGTCGCCCAGCCCATCAGGGAACCTGAGGGTTCGGGACAGTCTCCTGGTTAGAGCCCAACAGTCTTCCCCCTGCCCCACGGCTAGTAAGGGGCCCAAACACAGAACCCCATGGTCTGGCCCCACACAACCCCCAGAGCCAGCCCCGCGGTCCTACATCCCGGCTCCTGACATGCAGACGCTTCTTCCCCTCCTGTGACTCTGACACTGGCTGGGGACCAGGCGCATGCTGACATTTTTGTATGCCTTCATCCTGCTCATTCCGATGCCTTTCTGGCCAACTCGGAATCCACTCACACACTCCCTGCAGCTGCCGGGGCGTCCGCTGCCAGCTCCCAGCCCTCTGGGTATTCTTCCAGTTGCGGTATCATTTCCTCTCGGGCTAAAGGTCAGGGGAAATCCTGATGGTATGAAAATCGCTGGCCAGCCGAGGAATGTGCCATGTGTGGAGGGAAGGAGAGCCCGAGGCCGAGGCTCTGGGACTAGCTTAGTCTTTTCTCTGCTGTGTAACTATGGAGGAGACCTTGGGCGTTAGTATTTTTCATCTGTCAAATGGGCTGTAGCGAGGACCAAATGAGGTCATGGGTTTGTTTAGGAACTCACTCATTCAACAAATATTTATCCAGCCACCTGCTACATGCCAGATGCTGTTTCTGTTGTGCAGGATATGACACTGAACAAACTCTACCCTGACCTCATGGAAATTATATTCTGATGGAGGGTAAAAGAGAAAACGATAAACAAATAGGCAACTGAATATCTAAGTTGGTTTTAAGTGTTCACCAAGCGCCAATTGTGGTGCTGACCATGTATGAAGGACACTGCTAAATGCTTTCCTGGCCTTGAATTTTGTAATTCTGCATTGTTAAATTTGTAATAAAAACTCAATGATAAAAGGGCCATAAATATTCCTACTTTACATATGAAGAAACAAGGCTCCAATAGGTAAAGTGACTCACCTGTATTGAGAGTACAGAGATTGTTGGGAGTGGTGACAACTGGAGGTGGGTCCTGTCTGACCCCCAAACCTGCGCTCCTTCCCCTCAGCCTCAGACCCAGGAAGAACAAGGAGAACAAGGGGGGCCTGGAGAGGCTGGTTATGCCCAAGGGGCCTGGGGCGTTTTCCAGGTCTGTGGAAGGACATCCAAAGTCAGTGATGAGGTTGGGGCCATGAGCAGTTAATAACACAGATCCCTCCTCTGTCCTCCTGACCAGCAAGAGACATAAGGCTCTGCCTTTTCTAACAAAGGCTTTCTCAGAACCTCAAATCTCATGCTTCCAGGACAGAGGAACCTGGGATCTACCTGGGGTTAATGTGGTTTGGCCACTTCCCTGAGGAAAACTCTTGGGATGAGTTCCAACTCCTAACAGAACCCATGAGGCCCATGTGATATGGCCCCACTGGCCTCCTCCTCCTGGTGCTTCAGGGCTTCCTACTACTTTCCCCACTCCCATCCTGTGTTCAGCACCTTGGATGATCGCTTCCCTTTTACTGGTGCACCTGCCATAGCCACACCCACCTCTCCACCTGGCCAAAATCCACTAGTCCTTCAAGCGTCAGCCTGGATACCACATCCTCGGGGAAGCTGACCCGTTGCTCCTCTCGGGTTACAGGAGCTCAGTCCCCTGGACTTACATCTCCCATCACGAGATATTTGATTTCCTGTTCACTCATCCAATCCCCTACTCTGGTTTCTAGTTTTTAGCATTTTGAAGAAAGGGACTTGGTCTTGTCCCACAATGAACAGCCAACACTGCGCCAATGGATGGATGGATGGATGGATGGATGGATGGATGGATGGATGGATGGATGGGTGGGTGGGTAGGTGGATGGGTGGGTGAATGAATGGATGGATGGATGGGCAGAGAGACAGAAGGATGGCTGGCTGGCCAGCTGGCTGAGTCAGGTAGATGGTGCTTGAAAAGAGGATTCAATCATTTCTATCTCAGCCTAAGTGATGGAAAAATTTGCCTTTATCAGCTTTGGAGGGAGGAAAGCAGATATTCTTCTAACAATGGTTCTCACCCATGGCAGCACTTTGGGATCACCTGGGATGCTTTTTAGAAAAATACTGATGCCTGGGTCCCACCCCCAGAGGCTCTTAATTTAACTGGCCTGGGGCAGGGCCTGGGCCTTGGGATTTATCCCAGCTCCCCAGGGGATTCTGAAATACAGCCAAGGCTGGGATTCAGTGTTCAGAGAACCCGGTAAGAGGAGGCCCCATTTCGTGATACTTTCCTACAACTGACTTCTCTCGTTCCAGGAATGGAAGATGTGGCGCTGGAGACAGACACCAAACACCAAGAAAAGCCATTTCTCACATCTCCATTGGTGGAAAGCTGCTCTGCTTCAGTAAAAACTAGCAAATGAGTAAGACAGGTGTGACTGGCTAACACTGCAGGAACAGGCACAGAGAACAAGAAAGGGACAAATACAGCCTGAGGCAGGCAAAGGTTCAGGGCTGTGGGGGAGGGACTCAGGGTGTGGGGACATGTTTTTCCTTGGGTGTGATTTCAAGACAAAAATATTTTTACATATGTGTGTGCGCGCGTGTGTATATATCCTTATATTTGATCTTTGGTTAATTACCTCTTCAGTGAGAGGATATGCAAAAATCTTGTAGATTTCATTAGTCACAGGGGTTTATTCAAACGTCTCCTTTGCATAAGAAACCCAGGCTTACAGCTGGGCTCTGGGAAAGAATGCCCTCGGGCCTTGAAAAGCAAGCTCCCGCCCGCTCGCCCTCTCACTGAAGCACAGCGGAGGTCAGCGGCCCGTGACGCATGGGGGCCAGGCTGAAATGTTTCTATCCAGCATTTGCAATTCAATCCCACAGTTTCCTTTATGGAACAATTCACTAAATTCAGAGTTGTTCTTTTTTTCTAATTCACCATATAATTCACCTCCCAAGTTCAATTAAGAAGCAATCTGTTAGCAACTTTGGGAGCAAGCTGCTTTTCTTTGGGAAAGCCCAATTTTCTTCCGCTCGCAACACAAAAGTGGCTTAATTATATGCATCATATGAGACATTGATGTACACACAACGCCCCTCCACCACAATTAATGAAATATTAACTATGTACATCCAAAGATTTCCAAGGCCCAAGAGGGCAGAGCCTAGTTCCATAGATCAATATTTTCATTTGAGCAAGAGTAACTATGAATTCATGTTCTAAATTTAGTAATTAGTAAACAGAACTTCATATCAATTATTCCCTCCATCCCTCATTCTTAGAGCCAAACATTACTTGGGTTTTGGTTTTCTTACACACAAGAATAACTACCATATTAAGTGCTGATTATTTGCAGGTACTACACATTTGCTATCTATCTAATCCTCAAACCACCCCTCTCAGGCAGGTATCTTCCCATTTTACATACAGCATAACTGAGGCTTACAGCAGTTAAGGTATCACTGCAGACACACAGCCACCGGGTGGAGAGGTTAGATTCTTTC